GACATAAATCAAGAGAGGATCGCAGAAACTGTCGATTAGAGATAGGGACGAGAACCAGATTTTGGGAAGCCGATTTCCATATTTTGGGAAGCGATTTTGAAGACAAATTTCAGGGTTCTTCATCAATTCCTACATTTCAATCCTTTTGTAAGTTTTTAGTTCTAAGCATGAGCAACTAATTCCTTATTCTAGTAGTGAGCAAGTAAACACTTCAATCGGATGGTGATGAGACTTGATTTCAATTTAGTGTCATTTCATATATGCAAACTTTGACTGTAAAGTTGAATCTTACTCGGCTTTTTGATTTAGGTAGGATCCCCTATTTTATATAATCTGATTTTGATTTGCTAAACGAAACTAGGAATCCGTAATTGTTTCTCGTTTCGTGATTGTAGCAAGTAATGTTCTGATTGACATGTTTGGTTAATTGTTTAACATTACAAGTTTTCATATTCTAGTCTTAGTATTTGGCATTTAAATATTAGCTAGGAATGGTGTTTGCTAAATCTTAATGCATTTATCAGTTGTTACCAAATCTGTGGTTGGTTCCGACTAGTTGGATAGGGACTGGTTTTCGAGCTACTCGTGCAGTCGTGCTAGTTGATTTTTTATGGCAAACTGAGCATTGATTTGTATCAACATTTGAGTTATTCTGAATTGACATGAAAGTATACTTCAGTACAAGTCTATGATATATCGTCCAATGAAAAGTGTGTTTGCTTACTACCAGAGCTTTTCTTATTATTATTTAAATTTCTCAATTTGTGTTAGGACTAAAATAGTCCTAAGTATTTTGAAAGTTTTATAAAGTCCTTTACTTTGTATTGTATTGTAATATCATTGTAATTGGGTTTAAGGGTATTGGGCTTTCAATGTAAATGTCATCTGTAAATAGGTGACATAGGCTTACAATTAGAATTGTTAATTCATTAGTTCATTCTGTATTCCATTCACATGAGAGTCGATTGATTGAGAGTGTTTGTAGTTTACTCTTTCATGAATAAGAGAAATAGACGGTTCTTCAAGTTCTTGGATTATCTTCTTCATCTCTCAATATGTTTTACAATTTGTTCTAGATTTGCTGTATGAAATGGGACTCTCAATTGGTATCAGAGCAGAATCGATTAATCATTATTTATCTGATCATTCAGTCAGCATCAGATTCTAGCAATTTTTATTATTTTGTTCAATGGAACAGTACTCGTATGAACCTTAGACTTCATGTTCGACATTTTGTGCTTACAAGATCATAATTCACCATTGATTTCAATGTTTTGATCAAATTCCTTTCAAAGGAATTACTTTTTGGTGGATTCGAACTTATTTTAATCATCAAATTGGAGTTTATTTGATGAATTTTGATTAATTTGATGATCTTAGTCGAACTCTATACTTTGATACTGTCAGATTCATCTTCATTGCTCGATGAATGTTCTTGATGAGCGATAAAGGGGTTTTCATCGCCCATTGAAGATTTGAAGCTAGATTGAGCGATGTAAGATTGTTCATCGGCCAGAATGTGTTTGTTGGTGACTTGGCTTTGAAAATTGTGTTTAGCGATATATGTTTGACTTGGATGAATTTTTGCCTGTTTTGAGCAATAAAGCATGCTCATCGCATAAAGCTTGCCAGATAAAGCTTGCTCATCGTCCAGGTCTGGGTTTTAGTGATTGTTATCCGCTCAATGTGTTGAGCGATAAGGGTCCTTATTGCCCAACACACAAAGCGATGAAGTGTCTTGGTGGGCTATGACATTACATATACAGTTTTCCTTGTTATTTCTCTTGATCGATAATGTTGTCCAATAACCCTCTCATCGGCCAAAGCTTCATGCGTTGAACCTTATATGTTGAGCGATGAATAAGGAAGTTAGTTGTATCCGCCCAAGGCTTGAGCACTAACCTTGATCATCGGCCAGGGCGCGGGCAATAAACTAAGAGTTCATGCCCTCTCTGCCTAAGGCATGGGCGATGAGATACCACATTTTGTGCTCATTGCTCATCATCCAGAGTACTTGTTCAAATTCGAATCTTTGTGCTTAAATCGTGTACTTAATGGATTTTTTTGCCTAGATCTCCTTGTTCTTAATGATTAAGGTGGTATTTTATCAATTTTGCCTTTAAGAGCATCAAACATCAAGTTTTTCAACATTGACTTTTTGAGTCAAAGTTTAACTTTTTGGTCAACCTATTTGGAGTTTATTGTTTAAAGCCAGATTTGAATAGATTTCAGAACTGTATCATTGGTATCTGTATTTGATTGGACTAGCTAGAGTTTGAGTATCTGCAATCGTTATTCTAGAGTTTTTCTACAAGAGGCTAGACCATTGAGTGTCTTCACTCATTTCTTTTAACATGATCAATCAGAGGTCTTGAAGGTTTGCAATCAGTGTTCTAAAGATTTTGGAATTTATTAGATCTTTGAGTGTTCTCAGTCATTAATCTGACATGATCAATTAGAGGTTTGATAGTCTACAATCATTGTTCCGATGTTATGGTTGTTATTTAAGAGTTATGAGTGCTTATAATCATTCTTCTGGTTGGGATATTTGGATCTGATTCTGATTATTCAATTATCTGAAAGTTTGAAGGAGATCGGCTTATCTATATGGGTTGACTTGTTGTGAAGATATGTGCTTAATGTTGATTCTTCTCTCCGATTCTTAATGTTAAAGGTGTTTGCTTTGGTTATTCAAGCTGATGGTGTTACCCCAATTGGTAAGATGATCATAATAAGTTCTTTAGTTGAATGCCTATTCAACTCATGCTTATTTGAAAGATTTTTTTGTCATAAGACTGGTTGCACTAGAATGTCACGAAACTCACACTATTTTCTATTCACAAAGTTGGATGAATTAATTGCTTGGGTGTCAGCAATAGTTCTGAGGTTACGGACTGTGTTGAGTTGTCTGCAGTTATAGTTGTACTTTGAGCAATCGGTGGTGTTGAATTCACATTGAATCTTATCTTATAGTTGATATTGAAGAGTAAGAGTTATCTTTAGGGGGGAGCTTGAAGATTACATGAATGTCGGGCACACCAAAGTCTTCTTAAAGAAAGCAGGGGGGAGAAGACTTGAAGCTTTCAAGAGATGCTTACTTTATAAAACTTTGGGGGGAGATTGTAAGGACTAAAATAGTCCTAAGTATTTGAAAGTTTTATAAAGTCCTTTACTTTGTATTATATTGTAATATTCATGTAATTGGGCTTAAGGGCATTAGGCTTTAACTTGTAAATGTCACCTATAAATATGTGACATGGGCTTAGAATTAGAGTGAGATCATTTTGTAATTCTTCACATGAGAGTCGACTGATTGAGAGTGTTTGTAGTTTACTGCTTTCATGAATAAGAGAAACGACCGGTTCTTCAAGTTCTTGGATCATCTTCTTCATCTCTCAATCTGTTTTATGATTTGTTCTTGATTTGCTGTATGATTTGCGATCTTCAATTTGTTTTGCATATTTAGGCTATTTATCAATCATCCAAACCCCCCTCATTTTATTTAATGCCTTCGATAATCTTGCACGTGGTTACGTCTTGGACTTACGGTTAACACCGAGTTACTAAGGAGACGACCCTACTTATCACTATCACAAGTTTTGTTTTAGAGGTAATAGGCTTTATTTATATTCTTTATTATTTTCGGACTCGACACCCGTCAATATATATAAAACGAAGGACTGGAATGTACTCACATAGCTACATTTAGACAAAACCTAAAAACCAAGCTAAAACCCTAGATTGAGGAGGAGATCTTGAAGCTTGAAATTCCCCATTAACACTCTTGAATTTTAGAGCTTTTAAGACTTAGGAAGACCTTGAAATATGCCTTAAATGAATTTCCCCACTGAAATAAATGAGAGAGGAGTGGTAGGTGTAAGAGTAAAGAGAAGTGAGAGAATGAGGGGATGAAGCTGATCGGCTAGACTTAGGCTCCTGACATGCCCAATGCGGCCCTTGAGGCGACTTTAGGCCCTAGCCAGGGTCGCCCGATTACTTCAATCGATAGCTCGTGCAACCCTTGGGCAGGGAGTGGGGCGCCTACCCATGTGGTTAAAGTTGCCCGGTAGGCCGTCTGATATTTTATTTTGGTTGCCCCAAAGATTCTAGTAGCTTAGGCTACATTCTGTGCTACTTGAGCTGCCGATAAGTCACCTCGAACCTCGAACCTCAAAACTCCTTAAATTTCAACTTTTAAATTCTCAAATCGAGGTAAAGATATCGTAAGGTAATACTTACGCTCAAAAGCCAAAAATTCCGAAGTAACAACTAAAGAGATTCGACGGTACTCTAAATTAAATTAATGGAAACAACAGAATTACGGAGTTACACAATGGCAAAATGATAACGTTACAAGCTTTATTAGAAAACAAGAACAAATGTGTGACATTTACCAATGAACGATTGCCAAACAAAGGGATTGAAAAACGAGAACAAAGATGTCAAGCGAAATACATAATAAACGAATAAAGAAAACGTAAATAACTCATTCATTAACGTGATTACAACATCAGAACATAGTTACATCTATATAAGGATTTTTACTAGGCAAAGAGAAACCAAAACCGAAAGGAAGATTACAAATCAATATCACTTTTGTGATTCAAATGTTTCTCTCCAGTTTCATGATAATGACGTGGAAACACAGGGGTTGTATTTATATAACAACCTAAGTGAGTCCCAACACAATACTAATGTTATAAACATGGAAATTCGAATTTATACTTTAGCACAATTGTGCCCCTTTATGTAACACAAGCGTGTCAGATATCCCAAAATTATTTATGTCGAATTAGTAGAACAAAAACTGACTTCAAGACACGAAAGTGGCCTCATGAGCGTCTGTAGAAGTCCACAATATTCCACCTCTCGATTTTTGTTGTTTTATAGTTTCACCACTGTTCGACACATCTCAAGTGACTTACTATTCATTCAACATAAATTTCTCATTTTGGTATCGAGTAAACATACTTAATTTCACCTCTCATTCACAATAGATAAATAGTCCGATCGGCAACATTTAGATTGATTATCCCATCTATTTTATCAAATAAAAAATTTCTTATACTGGCATTTCCATTTATAAGTTGTATTTCATGCATAAATAGTTGTACAAACTAAACCGAACATTCGAATGCATGCAGACATAAACATGTATGCACAAAGTAAGAGTACTAGAAATCATCTTTTAGATCCATTACGGCTACCGGCGTATCGAAGGAATGATGCACTCTTGGTGATCTCGCGTAACGGCTTATCGGTGAACCGTATGATGTTGTAGACCCATGCCCCAGCAATGGCTCCAGCGATTGGACCCAACATGTAAATCCATATGCTTTTGTATTGGCTTGACACAATGGCTGGACCTAAACTCCTTGCAGGGTTCATCGATGCCCCTGATATCGGCCTGCCATAACAAACCAAATGTTAACCAAACAAACAAAAAGACAAGAAATTGAAGAAGATCATTTTAAACACATTCTTTTAGTTCATTGTCATCTAATTTATCAGTTAATTTTTACCAAACATAACTAGTCTATCAGCTGCTGACATCCAGTTTCGCACACAACAACTAGCTTATTAGCTATTTTGCAAAATATAGATCGAGTAACGACACATTTTCAATAGAATCTCCAACACGACATCATTGCCTATTTAACATCTAAAAATGTTTATGTAAGCTATATAAATATTAATACTTATTTTGTTTTATAGATAATAAAATTATGTTAAATGATTTTACAATATATTTAATTTAATTATTAATCAATTTTAAAAAAAAAAATTATTAGTTA